GGGGAGGGAAAGCATTAGGAGAAATACCTAATGTAGACGATGGGACAATGGATGCAGCAAACCACCACCACGGCACATGTATACCTATGTAACAAACCTGCACGATCCACACAAGTACCCCAGAACTTAAAGTATAATAAATAAGTTTAAACAAAAAAAGGATTACCTAAACAATATATATAACCATAAGATGAAGTTATGATGGATTTGACTATATGAGAATAAATAATTCCTTTTCAAAACCCCCCAAAAAATCATATAAACAAAATCTGGGACAAAGGAATGTACATGATGTGTTTGAAGAAACAGGGCAGTACAGTTTGACTAGAATATAAAGTGTGAGTCATGGAGCTGTGAGATGTCACCACTAGCCCTTCTTCCCACCACGACTATAATCTCAGTCTGGGATTCCTTGAGAGGATGAAATGGCATAATACTGGTAAAGTGTTCTGCATAGGGCCCAGAGCATGGCTGAGCACAAAAAAGCAGATTTCATCGATAGGTTATTAAGGCCCATTTGCTGACTCTGTGCCATGTAGTGTGTTTTTACAACCTTAGCGATGCTGGTGTTTCTGAATGCAGCCCTTCTTCTTGCTGTCACCACAATCCCATTCCCAATCCCAGATCCACACCAAAAATCTGCAGTGTCGATTTGTTTGGGGTTTCTTTAAGGTTAACACAGTAATTATTATACATTAAGGTTAATATACAAAATGGACTGTGAGAAGAATAAGGGAGTCTAAGTAACCTGTTAAAAAAAATTCTGGATTAGCTGAGGCGGGAAATGGAAAAAGAAAGACGGAAAAGATACTAAAAAGATATCTAAGAAAGTGACTTAAAAAGTAACAGAAGCACTGACAGAAGCAGTCACAGCACTGACAAAATGTTTAATGGAATCACATAAGTGCTTAGTGCCATCTCATTCATAGTAGGTATTCAGTCAGTGTTTTGTTTTGTTTTGTTTTTTAAAGAAAACCAGCTCCAGTGAGATAAAATCAGAAAATGAACAAGTGAAGACATAACTAAAGGTTTATGTGAAACATTACCTTTTTCAATTCCAACATTCTACGTCACCTAGATAGAGAAGAAACTGAAACAATAAGATGAAATTCCCAAAGAAAATGAGCGTATAGCACAAAGAGCCAAGTACATTTAAGACCTTAATTTATGAACTGGATAAAGAAGTGGAGGAGAAAGAATAGCCAAAGAGGCGGGACAATTAGAACATCATTGCAAAGTCTTAACAGAGGAGCCACCTGTGTTACAGAAAGCTACAGAGGTTAAGAAGGAGGAAAACTGGAGAAGGGATGTAGTAACATTAGAAAGCTGAGTGTCAATGGTATGTGTGTTTGGTGCAGAAAAAAAGTTAAAAATTTCAAATAGAGAAAATATGCCACAAAACATGAAGAAACGACACAGTCTAACCTTCACAGGGTTTTGAGAAGGATAAAAGGCAAATGCCTGGCTAAAGTACTAAAAGAGTACAAAGTGGTTTTAAATACAAGGTAAAATTATTTGTAGGCATCCCTCATATATATTCTCAAGTAAAAGAATAGTAAAAAAAAAAAAAATTATAATGACTTATTTTCTTTAAAGTGAGACGTATCAAAAAGTCTTTATCACTTAAAACATAGGTATAACACCAGGGTCTTGGCATCATGTCTGAACACATATATCGAATTTATATATATCTAAAACACAATAAAACTTTAAATAAAGAAATAACAATACTAATTTGCCTTCCTCCATGTAATAAGTTTGTTTTCAAGGCTGTGAAAATAGACATGGGAATTCTACCTGAAGAAATATACCTAAAACAACAGGGCAGTTGCAAGTCCTAGCGATTCCTCCAAATGACTCCTAAGACCAGATAAATGACTTCAGTAAAGTTTTAAGATACAGGCCAGGTATGGTGACTCATACCTGTAATCCCAACACTTTGGGAGGCCAAGACAGATGGATCACTTGAAGTCAGGAGTGACATATCAGACTGGCCAAAATGGTGAAATCACCTCTACTAAAAATACAAAAAATATTAGCCACGTGCCATGCCTGTAATCCCAGATACTGAACCCAGGAGGCAGAGGGTGCAGTGGGCCAAGACAACACCACTGCACTCCAGCCTGGGCAACAGAGTAAGATTCTGTCTCAAAAAAAACATAAAGTTTCAAGATAGAACATCAACATACAAAAATCAGTAGCATTTCTACACATCAACAACATTCAAGCCGAGAACCAAATCAGGAACTCAATCCCATTTACAATAGACACATGCACACACACCCCTACACATATCTAGAATACATTTAACTAAGAAGGAGAAAGAACTCCATAAGAACTGCAAATCCCTGATGAGAGAAAATACATGATGCAAAGAAATGGAAAACTCCATGTTCATGGATTAGAAAAATCAATATTGTTACAATGATCATACTGCCCAAAGTAATATACAGATTCAACACAATTCCTATCAAATTACCAACATCATTTTCCATAGAAGTAGAAAATACAATTCTAAAATTCATATGGAACCAAAAAGAGCCACAACAGCTAAAGCAATCCTAAGCAAAAAGAGCAAAGCTAGAGGCATCATACTGCCTGACTTCAAACTATAAGTGAAAGACTACAGTGGCCAGGTGCAGTGGCTCACACCAAATCCAGCACTTTGGGAGGCCGAGGTGGACAGATCACTTGCAGCCAGGAGTTAGAGACCAGCCTGGCCAACATGGTGAAATCCTCTCTACTAAAAATATAAAAATTAGTCAGGCATGGTGACTTGCACTCGTAGTCCCAGCTGCTTGGCCGCCTGAGACATGAGAACAGAACCTGGGGAGGCAGAGGGTGCAGTGAGCAAAGATTGTGCCACTGCACTCCAGCCTGGGTGTCAGAGCAAGACTCTGCCTCAAAAAAGAAAAAAGACTACAGAAACCAAATAGCATGGTTCCAGTACAAAAATAGACAGACCAATGGAACAGGGAACCCAGAAATAATACCACACACCTACAAGCAACTAATCTTTAACAAAGCTGACAATAATAAATAATTGGGAAAGGACACCTTATTCAATAAATGGTGCTGAGTAAACTGGCTAGCCACATGCAAAAGAATAAAATTGGACCCCTACTTCTCACCATATACAAAAATTAACTCAAGATGGATTGAAGACAAATGTAAAACCTGAAATTACAAAAATCCTAGAAGAAAATCTAGGAAATACTCTTCTAGACACTGACCTAGAAAAAATAATTTACTACTAATATCTCAATAGCAAATGCAACACAAACAAAAAGTGACAAAGGGGACTTCAAGAGCTTCTGCACAGCAAAAGAAACACTAAACAGGCTGGGCACAGTGGCTCAAATCCCAGTACTTTGTGAGGCCAAGGTGGACTGATCATTTAAGGTCAGGAGCACGAGGCCAGCTTGGCCAACATGTTTAAACCCCATCTCTACTAAAAAAACAAAAATTACCCAGGCATGGTCATGCACGACTGTAATCCTAGCTACTCAAGAGGCCAAGGCAGGATAATTGTGTGAAACAAGGAGGTGGAGACTACAGCAAGCAGAGATTGAGCCAATGCACTCCAGCCTGGGCAATAGAATGAGACTTTCTTTAAAATACGAAAGAAAGAAAGACACAATAAACAGAGTAAACAGACAATCTATAGAATGGGAGAAAATATGTACAAACTATGCATTTGACAAAGGACTATTATCTAGAATTTATAAAGAACTTAACAAGAAAAAAACATTAAAAGTGAGCAAAGGACATCAACAGACACTTCTTGAAAGAAGACATACAAGCAGCGAACAAACATAAAAATATTCAACATCACTAAACAGAGAAACGCAAATCAAAACCACAATAATTACCATCTCACACCAGTCAAAATAGCTATTACTAAAAAGTCAAAAAATAACAGATGTTGGCAAGGATGCAGAGAAAATGGAATGCTTATATACTATTGATAGGAATGTCAATTTGTTCAACTTCTATGGAAAACAGTATGCAGATTTCTCAAAGAAATAAAAATAGAACTTCCATTCAACCTAGCAAACCCCTGCTGGGTATCTAACCAAAGGAAAAGAAATCATTTTATCAAAAAGACACCTGCACTCATATGCTTATTGCACCACTATTCACAATAGCAAAGTCATAGAATCAACCTAAGTGTCCATCAATAGTAGACTGAATAAAGAAAATGTGATATACACCATGAAATACTACACCAACTAAAAAATGAAATTATGTCCTTTGTAGCAACATAGATGTAGCTGGACACCAGTATACTAAGTGAATTAACACACAAAGAGAAAATCAAATCCTGCATGTTCTCACTTAGAAGTGGGGGAATGAAGGGTTCAAAAAGAGATAAAGATGGAAACAACAGACACTGGGGACTCCATAAGGGAGGAAGGGAGAAGAGCAAAGCCGAAACACTATCTATTGGGCACTGTGTTCACTATTGGGTGATGGGTTCAATAGAAGCCCAAATTCTGACATTATGCAATATTACCATGCAACAAACGTGTACATATTCTCTCCGAATTTATCATAAAAATTGTTTTAGAAACACAAAAAAAAACAAAAAAAAAAAACACCTAAAAACTTAAGAGATATATATGCATAAAATATACACACCATGTAATAGTTTTACTTCTATTTCTTAATCAGGCTAATATGCTTCATATCCAAAAAAAGAAATTTAGAGTATTTTCAAAAATCCAAATTTTAAAAATGAGCTTGACTCCTTAACTCATGAAAGCCTTCAGTTAAAATGATTTTAAAATACTCCCTTTTTACAGAAGTTTAAAATGTGATGCAATTTCCTAAAATGTACCTATGCATAACTTTTAATTGTAAAAAGTAATTCTCAAAGAGCATATTTGTACAAGAACAATAAAACGGCTTCAAGTTACACCAAACTATAGCAAAATGGGAAAATGAAAGCTATACATCAGGTTCACTATAAAAATTTACAAACATAAAATTTCACTTACTTTTTTAAACATAACTAGTGAGATGACTGCTGATGCTGTGAAAAGTGCTGCTATGATTATCATCATGATTCCAACGGGAATACTTTTGTTGAGACCAGTAAGGGATGAAATCCAACCACTACAGAGTAATAAAAAGTGTAATTAGACAAAAGTTAATGTACACTTTATAAAAATAGCATAATATCTAACACATACTCAACACTTATCAAGGACGCAGTGTTCAAGTTCTTTATGTGTATTAGCACATTTAATTCTCACAACCCACCCAGTAGGATAGAGGCTGTTTTAAATCCCTATTTTACAAATGAGGAACTGAGACATTCAGTAACTTGCCCAAAGTCACACAGCTTATAAATGGCATAGTTTGAATTCAAAAGCAAAACAAACTCCAGGTGCTCGTGTTTAATTCCAGACTGTATGTTTTTCAAGCTGAATACTTTTTAAGCTTATGAGTTCATTACTACATTTTTTAAATGTTTATTTTAAATTCTGCTGAATTATGGAAGAAAATATTTGTAAACAATTTATCCAACAAAGGATTCACATCTAGAATACAGAGCTTTCAAAGCTCAATAGTACATAAAAATTATTAAGAAAATGGATAAAAGACAGGAAGAGACATTTTACCAAGAGGATATAAAGATGACAAATAAGTACCTGGAAAGATGTTCAAAACCACAATGAGATATCACTACACACCTATTAAGATGGCTAAAATAAAAAGTAATGACCACCAAATGCTGGTGTGGAAGTAGAGACTAAATCGCTCATAACTGTTGGTGGAAGTGTAAAATAATATAGCCATTCTAGAAAACAGTTTGTCTGTTTCTTTAAAAAACTAAACATGCAACATCCATATAATCTACTAATTACATTCTTGGACATTTATCCCAGAGAAATGAAAATTATGTTCACACAAAAATCTATTCACAAATTTCATGGCAGCTTTATTTGTAATGTCCAAAACTGGACACAATACAGATATCCTTCAACTGGTGAACAATTAAATAAACTGTGATACATCCGTATCATATAATACTACTCAAAAATAAAAAGAAGGCTGGGCACGGTAGCTCACACCTGTAATCCCAGCACTTTGGGAGGCCAAGGCGGGCAGATCACAGGAGGCCACAAGTTTAAGACTTGCCTGGGCAACGTAGCGAAACCCCATGTCTACTAAAAACAGAAAGATTAGCTGGGCTGGATGGCAGGCCCCTTAATCCCAGCTACTCGGGAGGCTGAGGTACGAGAATCATTTGAACCCAGGAGGCCAACGCAGTGAGCTGAGATCATGCCACTGCACTCCAGTCTGGACGACAGGGCGAGACTCTGTCTCAATCAATCAATCGGAATAAACTATAGATACACATAGCAAACTGGATGAATCTCCAGAAAATAACACTGAGTGAAAAAAGCCAAAGGTTGTAGACTATGATTCCAGGCCTATAACCTTCTTGAAATGACAAAACAACAGAAAGGAAGAACACATTAGGGGTTGCCAGGGGCTAAGGAGTAGGAAAAGGAGAGTTTTAAGTGTGGCTATGAAAAAGCAACAAGAGGAATCCTCTGGTGATGAAAATGTTCCCTATCTTTACTATCAATGTCAAGATCTTGGTTTTTATATTTTACTATAGTTCTGCAAAATTACCATCATTGGGAGAAACTAGATAAAGGGTACCTGAGATCTCTTTGCATTATTTCTTATGATTGTATGTGAATCTAAGATTACCTAAAAATAAAATGTTTAATCTAAAAAATCTGAATTACGTGAGGGTCTGTCTTAAAACAGGTCAATTCTGTCTGCACTCTCATTAGCAGACTCTTTTTACGTTATTTAGACACATACATGCTGTTAGGCTCAGTTCTAGCATTTCCCTATGTCTGTGCTAAAAGCAAAAGAAATTACTTCGATTTCACAAGAATAAAAAAAAAAAACCTTGTGCTGTTAAAGTAAGCAGTGTATTTTTAATTAAACATTTAAAATATTTTTTTCCTAAAATACCAAAACCTAGACACTATTTAAAATAAGGAAAATTATTACTTTTTCTGAGAACTGATTTAAAATATCTAAATTCTCTCCACGTATTTATGCCTATTAGGAGCTCTGCAGAACTGCCAAGCATTATCTGACTGCCAATCACTACTCCACTTCAGTAGTAGCATACTAAATTTAAGACTTCAGCACACTCTAATTAAATGCTAATTTCAATTTTGGTTTATGTACACAGTGAAACAAAGTTGCATCACATATGCTTCTGGCATGTAAGAATACAGCTGAATGCAAGTCAGTATAAAAGAAAGACGAAGGGGACAGATAATTTTAGAGATGTGTACTCTTCCACCCACCATTTCACTCAAGGAATGCTTGCAACAGAGTGTAAAGAGATATCTAAATCTGCTATTACCTCGTAGCCTGGGTCCAGACAGTCTCCATTTCTGAGGGTCCCCCACTGAATAAGCTATGATGAGAATGATTCTATTGTTTAAAAATATATGTATATACGTGTGTGCAGTGATTCTACCTTTCAGGGACAAGTGCCCATGTATATTTGTATATAAAAATACATGTTTGTACACATAAAATAGGGCTTTATACATAATAGGTATCCTTTTCCTTAAAATCCCTAAAGTTATTTCCTATCCTTTCCACATTCCTTGGTCTCCACCCCCGCCCCCTCTGACCCCCTCAGTGTCTTCTGCAGTTTTCCTCTTAGTGCCCTTACATACACATTTTATTTATACTAGATAAAATGTGCTGTTTTTAAAGATGGGAACATAATCTTCAGAGACTGATTTGTCCAAAGTTTATGCCTTACGACATTTTCAAATTGCATCTTTAAAACAATTTTTGCTTTCATTTAATTTTGCTAATCCAATTTTTCTGTGTTAACTATGTTAGGAAGCCAAAAATTATATTACAATATTAGGTTAAAGCTGAAAACTAGTAAACAACTTACCAATTGCCCCAATTTTGAAATCCTGCAGCCTGAAGTACATGTACAGCAAACTGACAAATATAGACGAAAAAAAAAAAAAAAAATCTGAATAAACTGTCACTCCTTAAAAAAAAAAAAAAAAAAAGAAAAAAGGGTAGGAAGAAAGAAGATGTCATTTTTCTCATTATCTTTACATTTACATGCAGAATGACACTCAAATCTTAAAAGTACAAACAAAAAAAAGGGGCAACCAACTGAGGCCTCAAGTTAGTAACAATGTAATAACTTATGTGAACTCGTCATGCTAACACTAGGTATCATTATTCTAATTTCACTTTGTCCTTTCAATTTCCAACTGCATCACAATCCATCTTGACCAAAAACCTTATTTGTTTTCTTCTTTTATTAAATAGCATCATAGAATTATACATATAATGAACATACAATAAATTGCAAATATTTAAAATATTGCTTTAATAATTTTTGACTATTTATATATCTGATTCCCCAATCATTATGGTGAGCATATCCACAAAGTTTCCTTGAGCCCCTTGGTAGCCCTACCCTACCCTCTGCTTTTCTGTTACCATAGTTTGACTATTTTGAGTGTTATATAAATAGGATCACATATTACACAGTATTTTTTTTCTTGTCTGGCTTCTTTTACTTAGCACAATTATTCTGAGATTCACCCAGTTTTGTGGCACGTATCAAAAGTTCATTCCTTTTCATTGCTGAATAGTATTCCATTGTGCAAATATATCATAGTTTATTCATTCACTGTTGACAGAAATTTAGTTTTCTAGATTATAAAGTTATTATCAGTTATTAATAAAGCTATTATTAATAGTCATATACAAGTCTTTCCATGAACATATGTTTCCTTTTTCTCTTGGGTAAATACCTACAAGAGGGAAAGCTGGAACATATCACAGGGATACATTTAAATTTTTAAGAAACTACCAAACTGTTTTACAAACAGGCTGTTCTATTTTTCACTCCCACCTGGCAGTACATGAGCTGGAATACTCCAGCTCCTCTACATCTCAGTAACACCTGTTATCGTCTTTTTAATTCTAGCTATTCTAATAGCTGTACAGAGATATCTTATATGGTTTTAATTTGCATCTTCCTAATAAGTAATGTTGTTGAGCATCTTTTTATGCGCTTTGTCATATATAGTTCTTTCATGAACTAATTAAAATCTTTTTCTGATGCTGTAATTAGATTGCTTTTTCCCTTATTGTTGAGTTGTGAGAGTTTTTAAAAGTATATCCTGGAAATTCAAGTCCTCTTTCAGATAAATGTTTGACAAGGATTTTCTCCCAGTCATTGCTTGTCTTTTCATTCTCTTAAGAGTGTTTTTTTTTGGGAGCAAGCATAATGGCTCACACCTGTAATCTGTTATTCAGACCCAGAGGTAAAGGGATTACTTGAGGTCAGGAGTTTTACACCAGCCTGGACAACATGGTGAGACATCCATCTTCTTAAAAAAAAAGCAGCAGCAGAAGAGATTTTCTTCTAAAGAGGTATTTTGCCTTTTTATTAAGTTCAGTGTATTCACTTGTTCTTTTATAGATCTTTATTTTATTGTTTCTGAGAAATCTGCCAAAGCCAAGGACGTAAAGATTTTTTTTTCCTGTTTTTTTCTAGTTTTGTATTTAAAGCATTACATTTAAAACTGAAATGTTAATTTTTTTCAGTTAATTTTTAAAAATATTTTTGAGTTAGTTTTTTAAAATTAACTTTGAGTTTTTAAAAATATCATATCAAGTATGAATTCAAGTTCTTTTTTGCATGTGGCTATCCAATTGTTCTAGCATCATTTCTTAAAAAGATTGTCCTTTCTGCATTGCATTTCCTTTGCACCTTTCTCAAAATTAGTCGTCTGTCTATGGGTGGGTTTATTTCTGGGCTTGCCATTCTCTCTCACTCTTCAATATTTGTCTCCTTTTTTGTCAATACCACACTATTTTGATTACTGAAGTTTTCTAGTAAGTTTTCAAATTAGGTAGTGTTAGTCCATCAGCTTTATTGTTCTTTTTCAAAATTGTAACTATTTTAAGGTTTTTGCATTTCTGTAACTAGTGTACAAACACAGCAATGAGTTAACATGAATACAGTAAAGCAGCAGTCCCCAACCTTTTTGGCACCAGGGACCTGTTTTATGGAAGACAATTTTTCTATGTATGGTGGGGTGAGATGGTTTCAAAATCAAAGTGTTCTATCTCAGGTCATCAGGGATTAGATTCTCACAAGGCGCATGCAACCTAGATCCCTTGCACACACGATTCACTATAGGTTTTGTGCTCCTATGAGAATCCAATGCCACTGCTGATCTGACAGGAGGCAGGGCTCAGATAGTAATGCTGGCTAGCAGCTGCTCACCTCCTGCTGAGTGGCCCAGTTCCTAATAGGCCAGGGACCAGTACAAGCCTGTGGCCCAGGGGTTGGGAACCCCTGCTCTAGAATCAGTCATTTCCCTAAGGTACAAAAGAGCAAATTTTAATGGTTCATTAATAATGTTTTCTATGTCAGCCAGATTTAAATTAAATGGTTCCACATCTTACAGTAATCGTGTCAGTACTCTATTACACCAAAGCTGGTGTTAATGACCATAAAGGTGAGAAAACTTATTAATGAAAAATAGCCAAGAACAAAATCTACAATATAAAATTCTATTTTTATTAATACCAAATAGAAATCCTATGTATGACTCATCTCTCCAGGCTCATATGCAAAACATTACTTTAATAAACAGTTTTCTTTTACTATTTTGAAACAGACACTTCTAAAGTATATTTCTATTTCCCACTCCCTCTGGCAGAGAATGAAGAATAAAACTTAATAATATTCTCATTTTCCACCTAGAGCTGTTACTTCTATTTTGTGTGCCAAGAAACCAGACTATTGAAATGTTCTAAATTATAAATATATAAAGTATGTGCTCTAAAAAGGGGCCGAATTATATCTACAGGTTTCCCAACAGCTATGTCCATTACCTTGGTTCCAAATTCACAGACACATTCTAGGAGCTGAAACTGCCTAATTATAATTTCTACTTAAGAAATCTATTAGAAAATACTGAATATGTTTTTAAAATTAAGAAGTCCTACTCAAAAACAATTTCTAAAACATTGCTTTCAAATACAAATGGAGTTTTGTTAAAACCAGTACACCTTCCTTTTTTTGTATGTACAGTTAGTACGCACAAATATAGTGTATAAAACTAATCAAATGAAAACCTCAAAGTCTACTTTTGTCTAGTTTTAAACAATTAAAGCTAAATAAAAGATATTAAGCAGGTTAAATATCATTCTCAATATTTTATTTATTTTGTTTTACCACTTCTCTATTTCTGAATAAGGGGACAATAAAATTCATTTCATTGTACACTGACCATTAATATAAATGATTATTTTAAAACACTTCAAAGTTCTCTAAGACATAAACTCCGTATCCCAGCACTTACTTAACTACCTAGACTCTTGTCTCCAAGGGAGCACAAATCTTCCTTTACCTGAGCTGTCCATATTACTGCCAATACAAAATCAGTCAAATTCAAAACAAACTGAAGCAATACAATCATCACGTGAGTATTAAGTTCCTTTCAGATGCTTGAGGGAAGGGTCAGCTGAAGCTGAGGAACTCTGGAAGAGCCAGAAGACCCCAGGAGGGATGTACCTCTACCAGAATCAGAAAAGGTCCAGGGAAAAAAAAAAAAGAAAGAAAAGCATCATCGGGGAAGAAGAACTTCTATTGGCATTCAGAACCAAAGGCAGTGGGTCTCGCATGCAGGAAGAAATTAGAAATCACACTGTTTAAATCAGCTTGAACATTGCCATTTTAAACCAAACAAAGAACAAATATATAGATTTTGTTTTAAACACTATCCATTGATTTAAGCTATGTGGCTTAAATTGTAATCTGCCTCAGTTTATGATAAATATTTATGGTATCATGGATATTTATTCATAATAAATACACCTAAGTAACATATTTCCTCATCAGAATATATAAATAAAAGCTCTCTACTACTTGCCATCCTGACTCTTTCAGATCAAAGCCTAATGGAAAACTCAATTTCAAATAAGCAAGTGGTTTTTGGTTTAACATCTTCTACAGCCAAGTTGCAGCACAATTTTAATAGAAAAGTTCTTCCCTAACTTACAATAAATCTCAGAAAATAAGCTTATTTGATGTTATGAAGTTTATTTCACATGCTAAATTGATACCAGAGGTATTAGTTACAACTACTATTTGGGGTAAGAGGAAAGACAAACTATTTCATTATTTCAAAGGGCTAAGAGAAGACGTGGGGACACAAGTTAACTGAAGTACAGCACTAAATGTCTTTAACTCTGGCAACTCAACATAGTGGATAAAAGAACATGAATTTAAAGACAGACTTGGGTTTGAATCCAGATTCCCCCAGTTAAAGTTGTGTAACTTTGGGTAAAATATTAAGCCGGAGATTTTCCATTTGCAAAATGGGGGTAACAGTGGAACATGCTTTTATATAAATAAAATAATGCAGGTAAAGTGCTTAGCTGGGAATGCACAGGCACATAAAAGTAACTAATAAACATTACTTGTTGATGTATCTATTACACTCATATAATACTGTATAAAAATAAATTGTTTTGCTCACAGAAGTAATATCCTGCTCACAAGAGTGGCATTAGGTTGTTAAGATACTGAAAATTTCTAGAACATGGTTGCTAACAATCACAACTACTAGAATCAAGTAATACAAGAAACTATTGATGGTGTACATGCATTAGAATGAAAAGAAACTGATATGGTTTGGCTGTGTCCCCACTCAAATCTCATCTTGAATTGAAGCTCCCATAACCCCCACATGTCATGGGAGGGCCTCCGTGGCAGGTAACTGAATCATGGGGGCAGGTTCTCCTGTGCTGTCCTCATGAAAGTGATTAAGCCTCACAAGATCTGATAGTTTTATAAAGAGCGGTTCCCCTGCACATGCTCTCTTGCTTGCATGTAGGACGGGCCTTTGCACCTTCTTCACCTTCTGCCATGATTGTAAGGCCTTCCCAGCCATGTGGAACTGAGTCCATTAAACATCTTTTTCTTTATAAACTACCCAGTCTTAAGCATTT